ACGAGTATAAACTGTTTCTCAATCCTCCGACCGGTATAAGAGGTTAAACTGCTCCCTGATACTCCAACATGTATATGAGTCTAAACTGTTTCATTTCTTTCACGGGAAGTTCCTGGAGAATTTTTTATATGTAATATTCTTAAGGATAACCCGATCAATATGAACAAAGTGATGAACACTAAATCTCTCACCGATAAGACTAATTGACGGTGGGACCACCAAATTCGATCAAGTTTAATCCAATCAAACTTACGATATGTTCGTGCACTCAACACTTTCATAGTTAGAGTCCGGATATAATAAATCTTGATCTGTCACCTGGTCAAACCTTTCTACAGTTAGGACTACCACCAAAATCCCCCACTCGATTCCTCCAATGAACGAGAGGTCCACAGATCAAGCGATCAAACCTTCCTACAGTTAGGATTGTCTCAAACCTCCCAATTGGTCAAACCTTCTTACGGTTAGGACCACAGTCAAAATCCCCTCTCGATTCCTCCAATGAACGAGAGGTCCACTTTCAAATCAAGTGATCAAACCTTCCTACAGTTAGGGTCACCTCAAAACTCCCATTTGGCCAAACCTTCCTATAGTTAGGGTCAAAACCATAATTCACTCTCGATAAACGAGAAATTCATCTTTAGTTCGGTAATCAAACCTTCCGACAGTTAGGATTATTTGAATCTTTTCGATTCTCGGAGTAGAGATCACACTCTTAGTTTTACCTTTCCGGATTCTGGGGGTGGAGATCCCACCTCGAGTCTCCTTTCCAACTGGAAATAGAATATAAAATTCTTCTTCTTCATTTTCGGGAGATAGAATATAAAATTCTTCCTCTCCCATTTCGCATCAATGGATAAAAAGTTTGGTGGATGATCCACTTAAGCACTTAAGTTGACATAAGTTTCACTCACTCTCTCTCTCTCTCTCTTTCTATATATATATATATATATATAGAGAGAGAGAGAGAGAGAGATGGTTAAAAAAATACATATATAATAAGCTGTCATATTCTTCTTCCTCCTTCAAGTTCGTGATTGACGCGTTAGTTGCCAAGTGCTATGCGATGCTTCTTGTCGGTTGGACTATGTGGTTGCTCTCCGGTCATTGATCAAGATGGATGTGGCAATTCTCCAGAAACGAGTTGTTTGAAAAACCCTAAACTTGTTGCTTATGTTTTCTAGATGCATGTTAGGGTTCTTTTTTTTCCTACCATGCATTGTTTAGGTAGTAGTAGATCAATCTTATTGCATGCTTGTAGTTATATGAATCTTACAACCTATACTTTGGTTACTGGAACAATTGTTATATGCACTTGAAGCTATTTGGTTTAATTTAAAAATTTGTAATTTGCAGAATGACTGTATTAGAAGTGTTTGAATTTGGTATCAATATTTTATGGACTTTTCGGATTGATTTAATTGTAACTGGAATAAGGTCAGCGCAACTGCTAGTTGCAAATGGAGGAATTTTTTTTTGGCCAACTAGAACCTGTTGGACCCTAGAGGGGGGGGGGTGATTAGGGTCTTAAGGCAATAAATGTGCAATAAAAATTAAGACAAGTAAACACCACAAAATATAAAGCTAGAAATAAAGAGAGATAAGATAGAAATTGTTATCCAAATGAAGCGCGATGTGTTCACGAGGTTCGGCTCTCTAGCCTACGTCCCCGCTCCCCACTCTCGAGGAGAATCCACTACATAACCCGGTTTGGTAGTCGGAACTTCTTCTACACAGCGATCTCTACGAGATCTCATGACACAGTTGATCTCCACGAGATCACCACACAATCAATGGTAGCAAATAAAGAATTGCTCTCTCTTACAACAGCCTTATGGCAAGGAGAGAGATTTCACTTGAAGCTTTGAGATGTGGGATGTGCAAATATAAAACAAGGAATTGGATTTTGAAAGTTAAGGCTTTTGAACTCAAGAATTAAACATAATTGATTTTTCTCTTGCAAAGTTGGTGGAAAAAATAAATGGGGTAGTTGGGTATATATCTCCGAACAGGCGCATAAAGGTAAATTCTTCCAGAAATGTTCGTAGAACCTTCGGCTCGAAGATCCAAGACCCCGTTGCCGCCACTGCACTTGCACCACGTGACGTCCCAGCGTCGTCCAACGTGGTCGAGACCATAGATCCGGGCTTTGCCTCCGCCGAGGAGATGGCTACTAAAGACGCTCCAGCATTATCAAAGAGAGCACGCCAAAGACGGCGTCAACGCCTTGCTCGTCAGCTAGCCAAAGCTTTGGAGCCGATGGATGGGATCCGCTACAATGAAGATCTCAAGTCCAGACATCGCCAAGAGCAACAACGGCAAACAACCAGCCCCTCCTCCAAAGCAGAAATGAACAAATGGGTTCGTGTTAAAAGAACCCGTTCTACTCCCGAGGAGCGAATCCAGAAGCGCCGCGCCTTGCGTGCGCATACCCGGACCCTTGTGCGAAAAACACAAGAAACGCAAAGGGAAAAGGCAATTAAGAGATCGCCGAGATCCAAACGAGTTTGGGTGCCAAAGGCCAAATCAGCGCCTAAGGCAAAAGCAGGCGACGTTGCTCTCCGGCCTTCGTCAACTTCAGATCCCGAACCTCCGTTAAAGCCCTGCCGCAGCGCAGATTTCCTCAAGTTTAGGAATCCTTTGAACAATCGTATCGGTGCTCTACCCGAGAATCGAGGAAAAGCGCTTGTTAAGGAGCCAACATCCGGATTGGGGGTCGTACGCGACCTCCTAACAAATTGATTTCTGCAACGACCCGCTTGGCGGTGCATGCAAAAAATCAGGAGCCCGTTAAGGTTTCACCCTCACAAAGGTGTGATTCCAAACGTGTGACTCCCGTAAATGCCAACAAGGCAATGTTTACTCAGAGGAAAACGCGTCGGACAGACGAACGCGTTATACCTGAGAACCCATGTGAGCAGCCGATAGGTTACTCCGACCGCAACGTCGATGAGTTGTACTATCAGGCTGGGGGTGCGAATGAATCTCAAAAGAGAAGTACCCAGGAAGCGGACTCTCACTGTCCGTGTATCAAATTTATCAGGGTAGTATTATCAACATATAGCTGCCCCAAGACCGCTCCACAGAGGGTCTCGATATTCGAGAGAATCTCCAATGAAACGACAAAGCCCAAATCAGGGCGTTTCCACCAAAGAGGATCGGTTGCTCGGGATGATGAATTCCCAGATGTAACTTCCATCATCGGTGGTTGATGGGGGATAAGCTATCTATTGTGATTTTTAGACAGCCTACAGGGTATTTATAGTGAAAAATATCAGCAGCCAAAACCCCAAAGAAACCATCAAAATCCCCCAATATCCGGATTTCTGAAACTAGCCGTTATTGTGCAACGGCTCTCTGATAAGTCGACTCATGAGTCGACTAATGAGTCGACTTATATGAATCGACTCAGCAGATGAAAAATGGCAATTCTGCCGCACTTTGTAAGTCAACTTATAAGTCGACTTATGAGTCAACTAAACATGCACAGACCAGATTTGCACAGGAAAACTGAACTTTAAACCATGTTTAAAAATATCAAATACCGACCCTAATTTCTCTCCAGGAAGAAGAGTCAGTCCGGGAATAACCCAACGAATATCTCAGCTTCAGCTTGTTTTCGGAGAAAGTTGATGTTTTCATTGCTTTTGGATCTGTTACAACTTCAATCGTTACAACAAGAATCGATAAAAAAAGTCGGTCCACAGACCAGATTTGCACAGGAAAACTGAACTTTAAACCATGTTTAAAAATATCAAATAAATTCTAAAAAATATGAAACTTTGGGAAAAGTTTATAATCATTTTGACAAACTTGTTTGAAAAAGAATTTTGCAAAAAGGTCCTCGTATTTATGAAAAACATCATTTTGACAAAAGTATCAAAATACAAGTTTTGAAGGTGTGCAAGTGTGTGTGATATCCCGAATAGCTTCAAATGAAATCTACAACTACTTGCCTACAATCTAGCACTAGAGAGAAAATAAAAACTAGCAAATATCCTCACATAGAATAACATCTCTTTGAGTCTTGATATTGCTTTGATTTGATGAAGCCTTCACTTGTATATGTTGTTCTTAATTAACATTTGCTTCATCACATTGCCTCCACCTCCTATATGGATATTGACGTTGTAGCTCATATTCCATCCAATCCTCCATATATATGGTACTAACAAGCTTGATATACATATTAACTACAATATCACTTAACAAGCAATTAGTACCGATAATGGTGGTTGTAAATTATCATCAAAACATAAGGGCTAACAGAACCAACTCTGTTCATTATTCACAGCTAAACCAAACCAAAATGTTCTGTTTACGACAACAATTGCAACCATAGTTGCATAGAATCCGCTGTGTTTTTTCTCACTGGATGGGTATGAGAGTGTGGTACGTCACTCAATAAGAATCAAGTACGATGTGGTAGTCTTATACGAACGGTGCGCTAGGGAATGTGGTGCACTTTAGGTTCGGGTCCTAAATATAGATATCAAAGGTTTTGCAAGAGTCAATTTAAGAAATATGCTAATTGATATCAGTAATGGTGAAAGAACCTTGAGAATCATGTTGCAATTATGGTATGCATACTTTATTTACTTAAATTCTCATGTTTTTAATTGTTTCTTTTGGAAAAGAGTTTTTTTTTAACTCAAATGATTTGAATTCTAAATTGGGTCACGGGAGCTGGTGAACCGGGTCGTGTTCCACGCGAATCTGGGACGATTGAACCTGGGTCGCGGTTTGCTATAGCATCCCACGTTCCAGACTTCTGTGATTGCAACCTTTGCAGTTAGTGAGACGAGCGACCACAAAATTGAGTTGAAATTAATTAATGCTGCAAAATGACATTGTTAGTTAGCGTTTTGGAGAGATGTGATAGAAACTCAAAAAGATCTGAATACATCAAATATGACATCGTTTGTTGTTCATGTATATATTTCGAACTCTGGATGGTCAATCAAAAAGTGAAATGGTCCGTTTGGAAAATTGGTGTTCTTACCAATATTTCTAAAGTCACGCTCTAAATATACCGTCAATTGTTGTGTCCGAAGTCTGATTAATTAAGGAAGATTTACACGTACGAGCGACACAAATATCCTCATTGTGATTTGGATTACATTAACTACTGATAAAACAAAAACATGTCTCGTGAACTCTCTGCCTCATCCGAATTAGTGCTTCTACTAACTCCTCTGAAATTCTTATTTCCACAGAGATGCCTGCGTAGAATACGCAGAAGCCGTCGAAAAACTCGCATTCAAGCTGCTGGAACTCATGGCCATGAGCTTAGACTTACCAGCCAAGCGACTGAACGGCTACTTCAAGGACTCCCTAAGCAGAGTCCGCCTAAACCGCTACCCTCCGTGCCCCTCCCCTGACCTTGCGCTCGGCGTGGGCCCACACAAGGACCAAGGAGCCCTCACTGTCCTGGCACAGGACGATGTCGGGGGCCTCGATGTCAAGAGGAAGTCCGATGGCCAGTGGGTCCGTGTCAAGCCTGTTCCCGACTCCTACGTCATCAACATCGGCGATCTCATCCAGGTTAAAAATGGCGTCCATCTAATTTTCAATGTCTAGTCAAATCATTATCATTTTTTAATACAATTATCATATTTTCGATACATAATTAATTGCATATACACCTCGTGTAATATCATTCACTGATCCAATGCGTTTTTATTAGCACCTAAGCCATGCAATGCCCAGACCACCCTTATTTATGGATGTGGAAATTAATATATCTCCTATACTACATGCATGTACAAATAACAAAACGATAATCATGAAAATAAATTTCTAGTCCTCTGCAGTACTGCAGGGTGTTTATCTGTGACTGACCTTATAATATGAATGTTATGATGAAACTGGATCAAAGCCTCGTGATGAAGCTGGATCAAAGCCAAAAAAAACGTTGAATGAAGGCACAGAGGGAGAATATGCACACGGAGAGAACTTGAGAGTTTTTATTGATTGGGATGCTACTTAAACTTAAAACAATCACTCGCTTTAAATAAGAGAAAAAGCTTAACAGACTCAAAACCAACCTATCCTAAAAATAAGATCAAATCCCGTAACCAACTCATGAATCCCGCAACCAATTCATGCTGTTGCTTGACCGCTTCTCTCGGCCCGGCCACGTCATGATTATTCCAACATGCTCCCCCCTAATCTTGACGTGGGGAAGCCGGATCTTTGACGCCAATATGCTCGCACATCTCCTTGAATTTGATTCTAGCAAGTGCCTTAGTCAGAATATCAGCACGCTGTTCTTCAGTACTCACATGTTTGACAACGATCAGTTCCTTTTCCACGCACTCTCGAATGAAGTGGAAACGAGTATCGATGTGCTTACTGCGTCCATGGAACACTGGATTCTTCATTAAAGCTATTGCAGACTTGTTGTCGACATAAAGAGTGACTGGCTTGGGCTTACAACTAGTCACCTCGCTGATCAAACTCCTCAGCCACAGTCCCTGACAAGCTGCTGCAGTTGCTGCCATGAACTCGGCTTCACATGAGGATAATGCCACAGTTCTCTGCTTCTGAGATGCCCAAGTGATCAGATTCTCGCCGAGGTAGAATGCCATGCCACTAGTACTTCTTCTGTCATCGACATCCCCGGCTAGATTGCTATCAGTAAATCCGACCAACTCCTCAACTTCATGTCCTTTTCCATACACAAGCCCGTAGCTAATGGTTCCCTTCACATACCTTAGGATTTGCTTGACCGCCTGGTGATGCATGGCAGTAGGCCTCTCCATATACCGACTCACCAACCCGACGGAATAAGAGAGATCCGGACAGGTGTGAGTCAAGTACCTCAAGCATCCGATGACGCGCCTGTATTCCGTTGGATTCACCAATGTTCCATTAACATCCTTTCCGAGTTGCAGCTTTGGTTCCATGGGGTATTTTGTCGGGCTGCATTCGCTCATCCCGAATTGCATTAGTACCTTCTTGGCATAGGCCGACTGTCTTAGTGTGACACAGTCCCTTCCCTGGTCCACCTCGATTCCAAGGTAGTAGGAGAGTAACCCAAGGTCACTCATCTCAAACTCCTTCATCATCTGCTGCTTGAACCCCTTTATCTCGTCAACACTCGTGCCGGTGACGATCAAGTCATCAACATACACTCCGACAATGAGTGTGTCAGCTCCATTGCTTCTTGTGTACACCGCCTGTTCCTGTGAACATCTCACGAACCCAAGGCCTTTCAAACTCTGGTCCAATCGTTTGTTCCATGCCCTTGGTGCTTGACGAAGGCCGTAGAGGGCTTTGGACAACTTGTACACCTTGTGCTCTTGGTTCTTCACGATGAAGCCTTCAGGTTGGGCAACATACACTTCTTCTTGGAGATCACCATTTAGAAATGCTGATTTGACGTCCAAATGGTGCACCTCCCATCCTCGCTGAGCCGAAAGGGCAATGATCAACCTGACGGTGTCAAGTCTGGCCACCGGTGCGAAGACCTCCTCAAAATCAACTCCTTGCTGTTGAGTGTACCCCTTTGCCACAAGTCTTGCTTTGTGCTTGAGGGTGTTGCCTTCGCTGTCCTTCTTCAACTTGTATACCCATTTTAGTCCAATGAGTTTGTGACCGGGTGGCAGCTCGGTGAGCACCCATGTCTTGTTCTTCTCGATGGCCTCCAGTTCTCTCTTCATGGCTTCCTCCCACTCTTTCACATTTGCGGCTTCATGATAGGTTGCTGGCTCCTCGGCAGCTAGCAACAATAGCTCATCGTCACGCAAAATCAACTCCTTGCTGTTGAGTGTACCCCTTTGCCACAAGTCTTGCTTTGTGCTTGAGGGTGTTGCCTTCGCTGTCCTTCTTCAACTTGTATACCCATTTTAGTCCAATGAGTTTGTGACCGGGTGGCAGCTCGGTGAGCACCCATGTCTTGTTCTTCTCGATGGCCTCCAGTTCTCTCTTCATGGCTTCCTCCCACTCTTTCACATTTGCGGCTTCATGATAGGTTGCTGGCTCCTCGGCAGCTAGCAATAATAGCTCATCGTCACGGGTCTCTTCATAAATGTCAGCAAGTGAACGATATTTCTCAGTCCAATCATCAGTAGACGAGGAAGCAGAACTCCCTGGAGATCCCTGGACAGTTGACGGTGAGGCTGGAGCTGACGCGGCTAGCGGACTCGGAGATGATGACGATGTCGCACCCTGTGTCAATGACTCCGTGGGAACGCCAGGTGTAAAGGGCGTCTGCTCCCCAGCTTCCGTGTGACTGACTGCTGCTCTGTCACCATCAATGGGCTCCTCGACGGTGAACGTGACCCAAGCCTGTGGGTCATTTTTCTCAGCTTCACTCCATTCCCAGCTTCTTTCTTCCTCAAAGACAACATCACGACTCACGTGAATCTTGCCGTGTCGGGGATCATACATCCTGTGCGCCTTGCTTCCCGCTTCTACTCCAAGGTACACCATGGGAATGCTGCGGTCGTCGAGCTTCTTTGTATGTACGTTCGGTACCTTGACATGTGCAGTGCACCCAAAAACCCTTAGGTGCTCCAGATGAGGCTTCTTGCCCGTCCATGCCTCATAGGGAGTTGTGCTAGCCAAGGCTTTCGTCGGTACTCGATTGAGTATGTAGACCGCATGCCTCACCGCCTCCCCCCACATCTTTGCAGGCATACGCATGCTCTTCAGTAAGCTCCTTGCCATTTCTAGGACAGTACGATTTCTTCGTTCAACAACGCCATTTTGTTGTGGCGTGTATGGCGCTGTCAAGTGCCGCTGGATGCCTTCTTCTTCACACAAAGTCGTGAACTGTTGAGACAAGAACTTGCCACCGCGATCTGTCCTCAACACCTTTATCTTGTGCTCAACCTCCTTCTCGATCAATGCCTTGAACTTCTTGAACGCGCCAAATGCTTCACTCTTCAGCTTGATTATGTACACCCACATCATCCGGCTATAGTCGTCAACAAGGAGGAGGAAGTATCTGTTGCCGGCGGGTGTCTCTGGTGTTATCGGTCCACACAAATCTGCGTGTACCAACTGTAGCGGGTGTTCGGCTCTGAAGTTCGCCTGTGAGGGGAAGGCATTCCTCGTTTGCTTTGCCACAAGACATCCCTCGCAAATCTGCGTTGGATGATTGATCTTCGGGATGCCGTGTGCCATTACTCGATCCCCCATCATCTTGAGTGCCTGGAAGCTCACGTGCCCAAGCCTCGCATGCCACAACCAAGCTGGATCCTCCATGCTTGCCGTCAAACAAACAGGTTCACAAGTTTCCAACAAAACTTTGTAAAGCCTGTTGGGGGATCTCTTGACTTTGATCAACAATCTCCCATTCCTGTCATATATACACAAAAATGCTCCACACATAACAGTCCTACTGCCACCTTCAGAGAGCTGACCAAGACTAATAATATTGTTACATAGACTTGGTATGAAATATACCTCCCGCAGTAGTCGTTGTTCACCGTTCTTGCATAGAAATAGGATGGATCCCTTCCCTTTGATTTGCACTGTCGAGCCATCGCCAAACTTCACCTGCCCGTGGATGCTCTCATCTAGGTGCTTGAACATAGACCGCTGGCCTGTCATGTGGTTGCTGGCCCCATTGTCCAGGTACCACACGTCAGACCCGACCGTTTCCTTCTCATCTGTCTGCAGCTTCGGAATAACATTCTTCTCATTCAACAACACCATGTTGCGCGCGCCCCCTGCGCACTCGGACAAGAGTAGTGCTGGCTCTTCATCTAGAACACGGGTGAGATTGGTCTCCTCGTCTCGGTGCTTACTGCGACACTCCGAAGCATAGTGCCCGAAGTTGTTGCAGTTGAAACACTTGATCATGCTCTTGTCTCGGCCTCCTTCACGACCTCCGTTTGTTCCCTGGCGAGTACTGGTGCTACTGCCGTGACCTCCATTGCCGCGGCCTCGGCCACGACCACGGCCGCGTGAGTAACCACGCCCATGCCCGCGGTTGTTTTGAGAAAAAAATTCCTTTCCCCGTGATGACTTTGCGTCGGGTTTAGGATCCCCTCTTATTAGTAGCGCCTGTTCGTGCCGGTCGTCGTAGTCACGGTAGCGCTCCTCATGTGCCTTTAGAGCACCAATCACCTCGTCCACCTGCATGGTCTTGAGATCGCCGAACTGCTCCATAGTCGCGGCGATCTGCAAGAACTTTGGTGGCACACAACGGAGAAGTTTCTTCACCACATGGCTCTCCTCCATTGTCTCCCCAAGAGAACGTATTTGGTTCACAAGGGTAGTGAGTTTTGTAGCGAACTCATCCACCGACTGCGCATCGCCCATGCGCAGATTCTCAAACTCCCACCGAAGTGCCTGGAGTTTGACTTCTTTCACACGTTCCACACCAACGTGCATGGTTCTGAGTGCCTCCCAGACCTCACGGGCAGTCTCCTTGCCCGCGACTTGAAGCATTGTCTCCTCCGGGATCGCCTGGTAGATGACGGCGAGCGCCATCTGATCCTTCTTCTCGTCCACCGATTCAGCATCGCCGGTGGCCTCGATTGCCGCCCAAACCCCTTGGGCGCGCATGTTGGCCTTCATCTTCATTACCCACGCCGGGTAATTCGACTTCGACAGCATCGGGTACTTGAGGGTTACCGAGCCCTCCCTTGCTGTTACTGTGTCAGTGAGCTCCTCGCTCCCACTCTGGGATTTGCTCGACGACGGCATCTGCTTCGGCATACTGGCTCTGATACCACGTGATGAAACTGGATCAAAGCCTCGTGATGAAGCTGGATCAAAGCCAAAAAAAACGTTGAATGAAGGCACAGAGGGAGAATATGCACACGGAGAGAACTGGAGAGTTTTTATTGATTGGGATGCTTCTCAAACTTAAAACAATCACTCGCTTTAAATAAGAGAAAAAGCTTAACAGACTCAAAACCAACCTATCCTAAAAATAAGATCAAATCCCGTAACCAACTCATGAATCCCGCAACCAATTCATGCTGTTGCTTGACCGCTTCTCTCGGCCCGGCCACGTCATGATTATTCCAACATGTTAACATGGGAGCGCAAGTGATGGTTACCTACGGTATTTACTTCTAATGTCATAGAAATTGAGACGGGAGAAACAAAATCGCCATTCTTCAATGGTAAATCCTATAAGCCTTAATTTCTTCGAAGTAAATATGATAATTATGAAGCAAAGACTGTAATTTAACTTACGGAGAAAACCATTATCATAATTTCTTCATTCTCAAGCAGTTGATATTTCGTAGCAAGTTCATCCATGCAGGTGTGGAGCAATGACAAGTACGAGAGCACGGAGCACAGGGTGTCGTTGAACTCGGAGAGGGAGAGATTTTCCTTCCCATTCTTCTTCGATCCCGCACATTGTATAATCATGAAGCCGTTAGAGGAACTTGTGACTGAAGATAATCCGGCTAAATACAATGAATTCAGTTGGGGACGTTTCTACAGGTCTCGGAGGAGCAGCAATTTTCAGAAGATGGGGGTAGAAAACTTGCAGATATCTCATTTTCGGAAGAACAATTATTGAAGTCCGGCCAGCAGGTATATCCTTCCCGGGAGATCAATTGAGGTCATGTAACTGGTTTGTTCGCAACTTGTAGCTGCTTGTGTGCGCGTGCACGTATTCTAAATAAAGATGTCCAAGGGGAACAATTATTATTATTATTATTATTATTATTATTATCTGTTGTGTTTGATTCTAAATCAATAGTCGATCGCCTTCTATCCTTTTCTTTTGTCTTACTGAAATTTCACTTGGACGCGTGAATAAAAAGGAGGATTTGGATATTCTTCACTATGAAGATGACGGCACTTGGCTACAATCATACCTACCGGCTGTCGCTAAGATATTGGTCAGTCTGAGTATGCTTCTGATAAGGGGGGACCCAGGGTCAAATCATAACATGTGTGAGATGAGATACGTGAGTAAATTAGCCTATTAACGAAGTTAATAATTTGTTTGGAGTTATTTTTTTCCTTCAAAATTGATGATTGGTGATAGTTTTATAAATATTGAGATTTGGGGCATAGTTTTGCAAATATGCATGATTAAGGGTGTATAAATACAAAAGACTATATAAGGCATTACAAGTATGAAATAAATCTAATCTATCAAACATGAAATAAAAACAAGAAAATAAAATGCTAAAACATATAATTCTAAGCTAAGAAAATAAAAACTAACATTGTAAGGGTTTGGATCCTTGAAGGAAAATCTTTATCTTCATCATCAAAGAAGAAGAAAATAAAATATTATTAAAAAAATATTTATTATAAAAATAAATAAAAATGAAAGGAGGAATTTTTTTATTTATTATAAATAAAAATTTTATAAGTTTTGGTATAGGTCTTCTGAATTAAGAGTAACTCTCCTCTATAAATAGATTTTTTATAAAAAAATTTACACCAAATTTATAGCCTACAACAATTAACAAGAGGGCATTGGATTTGTTTTGAGCTCAAATAAATAAATCTCAAGTATTAACTGTTTCTATTATGAATCAATTGGTCTTATTTGGTGCATTTGGTGGGAGAGAAATAACAGAATTTTCCTGCATAAAAACATTCGCCTGCTATTTGAAAGAAAGTTGCATTTTATGTCTCTTCTCCAACAGCAGGTGTTGCTGACGGTGACAAGGATGAACCTATTCTCATTGAATGAAGCATTATCTTTGGCGGGTGTTGAACTTTTTGTGTGCACTTGGTGGGTCTATACTCATGTAACCAGTCCTTTTTGGGTAATGACATGGCTGGAATCTCCATGAGGGGTTCCATCCTTATATCTGTATAGTTTTCTTTACTTTGCAATTATATATCCTCACTAACTTTTGGCAAACACTTTGCATACTCAGGTTTTTAATACACTTTAATACCTTTTGTTATGCAAACATGAGAATATTTTTTCAAAATATTCATGTATGATAGTCCCATGCTGAGTTTGGAACTTAACTCTTTTTGTTGAATTTACTATTGAACCTATCTAAATTTTATTTTAAACCTAGCTACTCCAAATTATGATATATATAATAATCCAAGTGAGGCCAATCCGAAAAATGGATGAGCGCTGGACATGCCCTCTTTCCTACTATAGTTGAAAGGGTAAAAATGTTATATAATAGAGATTTTGTCCCTTTAATTATTTAAAACATTCTATCCATAATTTGTCATAAACATAGACAAAGCTTATACAATTGAATATCCACTTTTTATCTTTGTTGTTTCTAGAACATTTTAAAGAATATTTTTATTATAAAATATAGATAAATTCTATATATATTTTTTATAAACAGAAGTCTATATAAGTATATAAAGTAAATTTAATCTAATCAAGGTACAAATAAAAAATAATGAATCAGAACTAAAATTTATGAATGATTGTGGCCATAAACTATGACCC